TCCCCTTCTTTCTTAAAAAATTGCATTAAGTACTAACACAAAAAGTAACTAGTGGAGAAGTTTCAATTAATTTTTTCAAAAGGAGACGATTAAATGTTTCCGGCCTGGTAAAGTGTTCATTTCATCGAGGTGGAGGGGACTGGGGAGGGGGGGCGCGAGGAAAAGAAGGGGGGAAAATTACAAAGAGATTGGGGAGGAGATGAAGTAGCAGGGCTCAGCAATTCTTTCAGTCCCAGCGCACACCCAATAGCGTGTTGGAAGAATGCACACTGTTGGGATTTGTGGGAGAATTGTCCCGCGACAAAAGAGGCAGAGTCACGCTTGTTACAGCCCAATAAGCCGTGCCAGTCAGACAAGAGCCCACACTAACGACAAAAGGCGAGTAGGCGATTCTCACACAAAAGAAAACAAGCAAGCCGGTCTTTCAGTTGTGCGTCAGGCTTGGGGTTTTACGCTCCGCACACATACAAACGGAGAGGAAAATAAACAGCCCCAGAGACTTCTGCTAACTACAAGTCCTATTTCAGTTTCGGAGTGTTCCTCACATCCACGAATCTGAAACTGCGACAGGAAGCTTAGCTCCAGGTTGGGGAGATCTCATCCCCATCTTAAATGAACGGTGACGCGGTGTTAATAGGCATTAACGAAGAAGCTAACGGGAAGAGGACTTTGGAGTCCTCCATCAGCTTAATACTTGTCTGGATGGGGTCGGAGCCCTCAAGACATTAATATGCTCTACACCCCTGTGTCTCTACGTAACTAAGGCTCACCTTGGTGAGATCTCTGGTTAACTAAGTAAACACAAGCCCTTGACGAGCAGGTCTTTGAGAGGGCTCCGATGCAGAGTTGCCAACACAAGTACCATGGCATCTACATGGGTAACAATTCTCGATCTTCTAGTAGCTATGGTCAAAGAGTAAAGTAGAGAAGATAAACTGACTTTTCATATCTTATATTCAACTAAGAGATCCCAAATATTATCACTGCAATATGGAACCAATATAAAAATTGAGATATTTCCCATTTTTCTTTCTCCACTCGAACTTTCTAAACTCAGGCATGTGTGCACACCTCAACCACCCAGGCCACATTTCAAATGCTCAGCAGCCATAGTGGCAGGTGACCCATGTAATGACAATAAAGATCCAGCATATCCAGATGGATTAAAAATGTGAGCAGTTGGGGCTGGAGAGATGGCTCAGTGGTTAAGAGCACTGGCTGCTCTTCTGGTGGGTCTGGGTTCAATTCCCAGCACCCACTTGGCAGCTCACAACTGTCTGTGACTTCAGTGGGTCCGACACCTTCATATATGCATGCACGCAGGCAGGACACCAAGGATTATGAAAAAATAAATACATTGTTAATTTTTTTTTAAAGTGAACAGTTTTACCAGGTAGGACAGCTACTCACAGAATTGCTATGGCTAGGTGCACAGCCTTCAGGATAATATGAGATATGGCTTTGAATACCCCACCAGCCATTCAGTCTAGCTATTCCCAAAGGTTCTGCTCCAAGTGGTATAATAAAATGGCATTTTATTCAAGGGACTTGCAGAATAGTAACTCCCTATTCAATACCCATTCCCCGAATCTCACAATTAAAACAATCATAGCATAATTGGGCCCATTTCAAAGTTTTCTTAAGTAATTTGACATGCCAACCACTTTACATTTCAGGCTTTTATTGGCTGAAAAGTCTGTTGTGAAATGCAAACACACCTGACAGTAATTTAAAAAAGGGCGCACCAGAGAGCTGTTCAGGAAATAATATCTGAGCTAATTAAAACCACGAGTTAAAAGCTTCCTGTTTCTTCCTCCAGTTGCCCTAAGGAGTGACCTTTCCCTTTGGGTTCTTTGCTTGGTGGGCAGCTAGAGGTCCTCACTGCCTGCGATGGCTCCACAGAGCCTCAGCCAGAACCATGGCTCTTTCAAGTACAAGCAAGCCCTGGCTTCCTAGCGGCAGGGCGGAGGCTCAGGCAAGTTAGTGCCCAGGAACTGACTTGTGAGGGCTACGGAGGCAGCTGCAGTGACCACAGATCCACTCAGAAAGCAAAAGCAGTTGCTTCCAAACGAGAGCTCTTTGGGGAAACGTGTTGGGGAAAGCGGGATCCTTGGGGAAGGAAATAGTAGATTTATTACCCACTTTTCACAATTCCTTCTCCTTTTTTCTTGAGTCCGGATCTCAAGTAGCCCAAGCTGGCCTCAAACCTGAGGATGACCTTGAACTTCTGATCTTCCTGTCTCTATCTCCTGAGTGCTGGGGTTATATGATTTTGTCACCACACCCAGTTTTAGGTGATGCTGTGTGGTATCTAACCAGGGCCTTCTGCATGTTAGGCAAGCACTCTACCAATGGACCTACATCCAGCCCCATTTTCTCCTTGTCTCTTGGAGTCTCTCTCTTTTCTCACGGTACTGACTGAATCCAGGACCTGACACATGACAAGCAACTGCTCTATCCATGAGTTAGTGTGAGCTATGTTTGTGCATCTCTAAACCGATGCCCTCCACACCCAATCCTGGTGACCGACTCTTTAGCTGGCCCTGAGCCACACAGCAAAGCACTATTGCTTACCCACTGGATTTCTTCGGGACCTTCCACCTTTGGTAGCATCACACTAGAGGGAAGAACTCGGGCCTGCAGAATGGTCTCCAGGTCAGCTTCCGCCAGACCACTGGACACTGAATTGATTCTCACACACTTTTCCGTTGGGCCCAGATCAAAGTCTTCGAGAGTTCTTACTATTCTCTGTCGAGCTTCATCCTGTGAACATTGAGAAACATGTACCTAAATTTACTCTTCACAGTAAGGAAAACCCAAGGAACAGTCCCAGAACTCTGACGGACACTGTGATGAGAATATCACCATTTCTGTCCATGAGAAAGTGATGGTGGAAACGAATTATCCACACTTGTAGGGGAGCGAATGATTTCTATGCATCTTTCAAGACGGCTGGAACACAAGGAGAATAATACCATCGTGCATACTGGCTGTGTACCTCTGAATGGCAGAGCAATTTGCTCATTTGGGTACTTTCTAGTTGAGGGGGTAAAATAATTCACTGATTGGGCATGAACTGTGCACTAAGCATGGTTCCAAGTCTTTCCCCCGTTTTCTTCATTTCTAGTCTTAGAAGCTACATGCCACTGGAATTGTGGCACTAGCATCTGTCAGTACAGTCGAAATGCAAACCCTTGCACTTCTGCTCCCCAGGTATCATGCTTTTTAGAAAAAGGATTCATCTGTTTTATTATTATTTTTTTTGTGCGTGTGTGACCAAGTTGCGTCTTGACATTCAATTAAGAAGGGGTTTACAGGAATCTGACATTCAGTACTTCATGAAAGATTCCTACTAATTCAGAGGGAACCAGTAATATCACTAAGAAATCCCTTCACGGAGCGCTTGACAAACAGACTGTTTTCTTTGATTTGACAGTCTGTGCTGCAGTTATGAGAAGCTGAAAGTCACATTTGAATTATTCCAAGAAAAACCGTATGAAACCGAATACGCACCAGCTTTGAGTTGGAGGTGAACACTGTGGGGTGGGTGGGGGAAAAGTGAGAACACTGAGAGGTAAGTTCTTAGGGCCATTCTTTACCGCCAATTCTAGTTTCAAAAATAAAGTCCTCCATCTTGCCAACAGCCCTCAACAAATTCTCACTGCCAGAAGGAACACTTACCATAGGTAGCTTCATTTAGGAAGAATTTTTATTACACCAATAAAACTTTAAAGCATCTAAATACTGATGAATGCATTAAAAAAGAAAAAAAAAGGTCCCAGAGCTGGAAGTATGGCTCAGTGGTTAAGAGCACTCAGTGCTCTTGCAGAGGACCCAGGCTTAGTTCCCAGCATCCACATGGTGGCCACAGAGTGATATAGTCTGCTGGCCTCCATGGCCACTAGTCACAAACATGGTGCACATATATATACACATACATATACACATAAGCAAACATTCAAACACATAAAATAAAATTACATAAATCTTTGAAAAACACTGACAATATGCAGCCATTTGAATAGTAACACATATCTTAGAAAAGAGCTCCCCAAAGCATAGATAACCATGAATTATTTGGTGCGTATAATAAGCACACCTTTAATCCTAGCACTTAGGAGACAGAGGCAAGCAGATCACTGAGTTCAAGGCCAGCTTGGTATATACACAACGAGTTCGATGCTAGCAGAGTTACATGGTAAGAGTCTATTTAAAACAAAAAGTGATAGAATTATCTAAGCCAACATAAAGTCTAGACCCACAGAGACAACCCAAGACAGTTTATTTAAGCTGGACATAAGAAAGAATAGAAATCAGGAAGGCTTCCAGTTGGGGTCTGAGCTAAACAGTGTAATGAGGACAGAGGAAACGGCACCCAGAATGAATTTAGGATGTCTCTGTGCAAACCTCATTTACAGAGTGTTGGCTGTAAATACTGAGGCCGAATATAGGCAAAAGCAAGAGAAAGCACATAAGATGATGCAGTCAATAGTGATTTGAGTCCACATGATGGATGGCCATTATTTAATGTTTCAGATTTGTCTTTAATTACATATGTGTGTGTTGTAGGAAGTATGTATACACAAATGCCCAAAGAGGTAAGTAGCATCAGACTCCCCTGAAGTTGGAGTCATGGGTGGTTGTGAACCATACTTGATGAGGGTATGGGGAGCCAAACATAAGTCCTCTTCAAGAGAAGGATGGGCTCTTAGCCTCGAAGCCTCCTCTCCAGTACCCACCCTTCCCCAAACTGACTATTTCACAGTAGAGGCCATTTGGGTACTCTATGTACTGTGGCTGCAGAAGCTAACGGGGGTGTACTGATGGCCAAGCACAGGAGTCAGCCCAATAGCAGGGTTCGAAGGCCGTCTGTCGTACCAGGAGGGGTTCCTCTGCCTTCAGAAGTGCCTCTTTTCAGATCCATAGCCTCAGAGAACCTAAAAAGCCAGGTCATGCTGCGCACCATCCACAGAGTTACTAAGTCTGGATAGTTTGGATTTGCAAACATTCTAACTTCTGGATTCTCACCCTATAACAGGTCAGCCTTGCAGAAGATCCACCAAAAACACTGACTGGGAAAATAAAAAGGTAATTCTCTAGATTGTTCAAGGGTAAAAATATTATGCCATCAAGCTAAGTATGGTGGCTCACTCAGGAAGCTGAGGGAGGAGGACACCAGGTGTTAGGCCAGCCTGGTCTACGTTCCAAGACGCTGTCTTTAAAGGAAAAGACTGAATCAACATGTCTACCAAACGTGTGCTTGATGACACAGAATCCCTGGCAACTCCCTAAATTGTTTCTCTGGTGTCAAACAGAGCTGGACCCTTAAGCTGTTTGGTTATTTCCTTTGGATCTGAAGAGAAATGTTTGTTCAGCGCTCACGTCCCAAACCTGTTTGTAATTTTTCATCTGAAGTCAGATTGCCATGGTTTCCGCACATTCCGGCTGACTTAGTAAAACTCAATCCTTGTGAAATTGGCTGCAAACGAAGCCTCTAATTCCAGTTTCTAGGCATAATCTGATTAGTCCGTTTCGTGTTATAATAATGAGCAGCCAGCATTCAGCATTTCCTTCCTTTTTGTTTTTTTGGCTCAGAATAAACAGGGCGCTCTTTCCTGGCATGGCGGCGTACCTTTCCAAAGAGAGAGAGGATGGCGTTTGAGGTATATTGCCACACAACACCCTTATTAACAGGGTGTTGTTTGCTACAATTTACATCAATGAGGAGCGGATCCCTCTGGTACGTATTCCAAAATATCCAACAACCTTACTGAATTTACACCAACCAACAAGTGTGCAGATTTTTTTTTTTATTATTTTAATGGTAAAATATGTCACTGTGCTAGTAAATACACCCAAGCCATCTGTTGGGCTGTGAGGAAGGCGGCTTCTAAGAACAATTAGTGATGTGCATTCTGTGAGTTCCGTCCACCGGTGGTGAGGAGAAAGACGTTCTGCACTTTGTTCGTTTGACTTCTCCATACCATCTTCATTATTCCCTTCCCTTCAGGTATCTTTTTCTCCAGCCTTCCTCCTACCTCCTCCTCCATCTTCAGGTGGGTTAACAAGAGGTCTCCAAGCGTCTGTCACACTCCCTCAGTGCGGTGCTCCGAGTGACTTTCAGAAATTTTGAAAGGAACGTGCTTTGTGGAGGAAGAATGTTATGGGGGAAAGCTGGTCTCAGGGAGGCTGAGGGGGATCACGCTGCAAACGGCACAGCCTTGTTGATGGGTCCTCCTGGCAGGATGAACGTGGCCCTCTCAGAGCTGACAAGCTTGAAGGCTGAATGGATCCTGGACGTTCACTTAGTGCCATTGGGTCCTCTGTATCGTGTCTGACTGCAGATTTCACGTGGCTTTCAGGCAAGTTGGGATGGACCAGAATCTTCCAAGGCCCCTGCTCTGGAAAGTGGCCTTCCCAAAGCTCCTGCAACTGGTCGATATTCCGTGCCACAGGCTCTTTGGTGCAGTGGACCAGAGGCTAATAAAACTGTCCTTATGCATAAGCCGCAGTGCTATGCGACCGTGTCTGGGCCAGGAACCAAGGCGTGCTATGATTTCAGAGCCTGGATTACTGTCACCTGGGGAGGAGACACGCTCCGGTGACGTAAGAAAGCGGATAAATCAACCATCCCCAAGACTGCGGCCTCCGAAACTAAGGGAGAGAATCTGCGTGCAGTTGGTTCAGTTGGCACCCATTAGAGCTAATAACTAATCATCCTCGCGAGTTTCTAGCTCAGAACAAGGAGATCTGCAAAGAAAACAACATCCGTCCACTTTTACACTCCAGTGGAAGGGGTGGTCCCTCGCGGCGGGGCAGCACAGTCTCGCCATCTGGAGAATAAATCGAGTGTGAAGTACAGTATAGTTTGGGACCAAGCTCCGTGGCGGCCGCTCAGCAGTCAGTTCATTAGCCCCAAACTTCCAGGGATTAGAGGAACATCAATTCTACTGTCGGATAGGATGAGACAGACAGGGCACGGGATTCAAGATGCATCGAGACACCCAGGAGCCCCCTCGGGTTTATTTATAGAACCACTGAGTATAAACACACTCAAATAAGTGCCTTAAATAACAGCATCATCACAGCTCCCTAACATCTGAATTAACACCTTCCCTCTGCGCCCCCTTCTCTCCCCATACACACAAACTGTGAACGTTAAAGTACACCCTTTACTGGGACAGGGGAAAGCTTGCCTCCACTAGACGCTGAGATCCGGTAATTAAGAAGTAGGAAGGACCTTCTAGACTCGGGGGAGATGTGCAGGATTTGTAATTAAAAAGCACACATAAAATTAATATTTTAATTCCATTGAGAGAAATGTCATGCCTTACATTCCAAAGCACTGGTAAATTTTACCTTCTCTAGATCGATCCCTCTTAACCCATCTCTACTTCATCTCACTTGTAGGGATGTTACAGGTGTGGACTCTTCCAAGTTTTGAGCATAAGGTCTTGATATCAGCTTCTTTATATTAAAATTGCCAAGGTCAAGTTTAGCTTAAGACAAAACAAAAACATCAAAAAAAAAAAAACCTTTGTGCAAACTTTTTTATTTAAAGACCCCCTTTTTCATCTGCTTTCTAGAGACACATAGTAAAAATCAGAAATGTCTGCAAACACAAAATAGGTCACCATCAGGAGACCATATTACATTTCTTTATAAATGTACAGAATTCATCGTCACAGGGGTCACTAAGAGGGATGTAGTAACTGAATTGAAAAGCATGTTCCTCGATTCCTGCAAGCTGGCAGTGTGTTTCACGTGGCAAGAGACAGTGTGGGCATTAATTGTACAAAATAATGAGTTTTGTTCCGACTTTTCAAAGATGCACAGGGCATACTTTGACCATATGACTTTCTAGTTCGTGGGTTTTTGTTGTTGTTGTGGAAAAGAAATATTGGGTTGTTTCCGGAAAGGAAAAATAAAGGAAAGTAGGAAGGGGTAAAAAGAAAACCTTGCATTGATGACATTCTGTGTCTTAACTGGCTTAAAATTTCATGCCGTGACCCATCCTACAGCCTTCTACATGTCATTCCTATTTACTGTGAAACGATAGATTTTGATACAGGAGACTTTTTGATGTGTTAATCATGAAAGATACATTAAAACAAGGGTTTACGGCAAAAAAAATATTACAAACCATCTTTCAAGAACTGAGAAGGCTCAGGAAGCTTATGGTATGTACTGAAATTTCTCATCTCGGAGATTTAATCAGCTCTACAACAGGCAAACACAACAATGAGGACATTCGAAAGTCCAGGAGAAGAACTAACATTTCTAACAGAGCCGGCCAGAGAGGCCCTGCTGTCAAAGGCCCCTGCTGCCAAGCTGGAGGACATAAGGCTGATCCCCCAAACCAGATGAGGGGAACTGACTCTCGCAGGTTGTCCTTTGACATAAGCCGGTGTGCTCCGCATGTATCCCCTCCCCATATTAGTAAGTGTAAAAGACTTAAAAGTATTTCCAAAAGATACCAGAACCATGGCTTTGAGTGACACAAGCTTTTACATGTACTTCATGTCAAGGCGTGAAGACTGGACATTTGTGCATTTCGCTGTATATGACTGTTACTAAAAAACAGAAAACGCACAATAAACATCTATCTCCAGTCAATGATAAGCATGTGGTAGGAGCGAGGAAGATTGTGGCTGTCTGTAACTCACATGGCAATACATTTTAAAAGATGAGTTGATGACAGACAAGAGAACAGACCAATAGAGATGAAGACAGGCAGAGCAGCGTGCGAGGGGGAAAACAGCAGAGAATACTCGGCATTCACCGAATAATCTTCCAAATTTTCTAACGTTCAAAATTCCGGTAATAAAATTGAGAAAAAATATTGTGAAAAGATTTCTAAAATGTTCGTATTTGGGGAGCAGGTCAATGACTGACTCCATGTTTGTTAAAAAAAACAAACAAACAAAACCTCACAAGTCTCCTTGACATTTGTGTCTAACTGATTATTCCCACAATAAAAAGTTTAAGAATAACAACTTTCACTTTGTTATCCGAGGACACAATTTATAGACAACTATTTGTGAGTTTTTGGTGGGTTTGTTTTTTTGTTTGGTTTTGGGTGGTGTTGTTTGGTTTCTTTTTTCTTTTTGAAGATTTAATAAGCACTACATGTATGTCTGGTGTTCTCAGAGGCAAGAAGGTGGCGGCACTGAATCCCTTGCAGCTGGAGTGTGGGTGATCATGGGTCATCATGACGGCGCTGGGAACCCAATCCAGGTCTTTTGCAAGAGCCACAAGTGTTCCTAACCACTGAGCCCTAGCTCTAGTCCCTTGGTAATGCTTTAATGAGGCAAGATTCATATAACGTAGTTCACCCAGTCGTACTTTTTCTTTCTGCATATTTGCTTTGCTTTGGAACTCAAAGGCATAATATAAAACCTTCCATAAATGGCTTCCTTCATCTGTGGTCATGTGTCAGGACTTGCTCATATTCCGTCATCCATCAATACCTTTTACCATCAAACAACATCCCGTCATGTTAACACGGCATGGTATACTTACCTATCATCAACTAATGAACATTTAGGTTGCTTTCTAATTTGGGGCTGTTATGACACATGTTCTACGAGTATTTGTGAACCCCTCCTTTTTATAATGTTCATAAACACTTCTAATTCTCTTGAGTTTGCATTTAAAAGAAGTGTGACCCCTGGGTCACATAGTAACTGTACGCTCAGCATTCAGAGGAACCATCAGCTGGCTCTCAAAGTAACTACTGATTTAGTAGTCCCATACCGGCAGTATATGGCTAGTGACGAGGCCCACAGGATTAGAAGTGAAGGAGGGTTTAGCCAGTGGAACAAAACCTGCTGCCCATAGGCAGTGGTGGCCCTTCCCATGGAGCCCGAGAGGAGCAAGGGAGGCTGGGATTGGGCTTGGAGACTCTGAAAACTAAGAATTTCAATAGCGGCAGCAGAAGGAACACCCGCTAGGAGGGAGCCGGAATGGACAGATGGGATGACTTCAAGAGGACAGGCACTTGCTGAGGACAAGCCTGATAATCTAAGTTCAAGTCCTAGAATCCACAGTGGAAGGTGGGTGCTGTGGCACGCATGCACACACGCACACTCTCACACACACACACGCACACACTCATGCGTACACACTCATTCTCTCACATGCACACACACATGTGCACACATACTCACACATGTGTGCACACACTCATGTACTCACTCACACACACACTCACACACACATGCATGCACACGCACACACAATACACATACACGCACACTCACACATACTCTCTCACACACACTCACACACATGCATGTGCACGCACACTCACACACACTCTCTCACACACACAAAAACCACATAGGTGATCCACATATATGAAGGAAGTCAAGGGAGGGGAGCCCTGCCTAATGGCAGGGGGCTGGACAGAGAGAAAAACAAGTCTACTAGAGCAGCAGAGAATTAGCTGAAGAGCTAAGAGGATGTGAATTCACAGGTGCACCCTAAGGTCACTCTGGACCAGGTACCCTGTGTCCAGGACTGCACTTGGGGAGGTCTGTCCTTGGTCAGTGCCCTGCTCAGTCCCACCCACATCGAAGCATCATCCTTTGGGAGGGCCTGAAGGCCTAGAACGACTCATTCCCATTCACCTTCTGTTTGGGGGACTCCAGTCCAGCCCACTGACACAGCAGAGTGGGTGGCCAGCCACCTCCCCGAGCACACCTGCTAATTGGTCTCCCTCCACCCTGCCCCTGGCGGACTGAGAAGGTGTCTCTCTTCCCCAACTGGTACAAAGTACCGCTGGAGCCAAGCTGCCCTCTCCCTTTCCCGGTATTTATATTTCACGACTTCTCTGGGTTACAGGAGGTAATTAACTGTTTTGGTTTAAAAGCCCTCCTGCTGGGTCGCAGTCTGCGTGGGAGAATCAAAGTAAACAAGCAAAAGGGAACCGTGTCATCAAAGGCCTCCGCACCTACCTTTCTTCATTATGAGAAGGGAAACGCGGCATTTGCTGCAGGTGCTGCAGACCGCCGGTCGGGGCAGGATCCCGGTGCTTCCGTTCTTTTTCATGGTAAACCAAGAGTGATCGGTTCATAATTTAATGAGGCAGGCTTACCGAGGGTCCAAACACACTGGAGATAACAGGCACATCACCTGTGCCCTGCCTGAACAGTTGTAAGTGATGCTGGCAACACATTCTGTCAGGTGACCTCCTCCAGCTACACTGTGGGAGCAGGATTAAACGTCTCCTCTCTGTGTGCACATCAAGAACCAGTTATTGGGGCTGGGCGTCTGACTCATTTGGTGGAAGTGTTTGCCTAGCATTGCTGAGGTCCTGACTCCAACCTTCACACATTGGGTGTGGCGGGGTTCATGGGTAATCCCAGCTGTCAGGAGGCAGACAGGGAAGGTCAGAAGTTCAAGGTCATCCTAAGCCATACAGCAAGTTTCTTGCCAATTTGAGTTACATGAGATTCCGAGGTTTTTGTTTGTTTGTTTGTTTGTTTTAGGGTTTCTCTGTGTAGTCCTGGCTGTCCTGGTACTCACTCTGTCCTGGTACTCAAGTTGGATTCGAACTCACAGACATCCACCTGCCTCTGCCCCCTGAGTGCTGGGATTAAAGATGTGCACCAACACCAACCAGTTCGAGGCCAGCCTGGTTTACAGAGGGAGTTCCAGGACAGTCAGGTCTATACAGAAAAAATAAACCAACCAACCAAATTTTCAAAATCTATTTATTATGATTGTGTGTATGTGCATGATGGGATGGAGTTGTTTCTCCCCTTCCACCTTTTGGTCGTTCTGGGGGTTGAACTGAGGTCCCCAGGTTCGTGCAAGCACCTTCACCTACTAAGCCATCTTGCCAGCCCAAGAACATTTTTTTTTATTAAAGTCTAGCTTACTTCGATATAGGAAGACATGATTCTCTACCCATCCCCAAGGCTTGGAGGCATACTGGGCCACATTTTTCTCTGGCTGTCCATGGTGGGTTATGAACAAACACTGGGGTCAGAAAATCCTGTCTCTATGTCAGCCACTTCAGCAACACCTCAGGTGCCAACACAAAGAAACCGAAACTGGAGTCCATCAGTAGGAAGTTACGGCACTATACCGGGAGAAGTAAAAGCGCCTGGTGGCTTGGCACAAGTCGGCACAAAGCAAAGCTGGCTAAGCTCATTGTCATGAGTTGCTTCCGACTCCCTCTCTTCCCATAGCGGAACACCAAGTGAGGATGATTCAAGTCTGTTAGTCATTTGTCTTCTCAGCAGCCAGGAAGGAAGAAAATTTGGTAGAACAACGTGTGCATCAGCAGAAGCCACACAAGAACAGCTATTTCTACCAGTGTGCTAAACTGGACCGTGACTCTCCCGAGCAGCTGTTCACACGGGCTAGACTTTAGAGCTAAAAAGAAATTAATACAAGAGACAAAACAAAACAAACAAACAAAAACACCGCTCCCCTCAAAAAAAAAAAACCCACAAAAACAAAAAACTTTCAGACAAGAGATTGTCTGAGACAAGGTCTCACGTATCCAGACTGGTCCCAAACTTGCTGTGTAACGGAGAGTGACTTTCACCCACCTCCCCGCTTCCACTTCCCAAGAGCTGGGGTATCACAGGTTGAATATTTCTGAACGTTAGACAAGCACTCACGTCAACCATGCTAACTTGGGGCCTTTTATTTTTTTTTTCCCCCTCTTTGAAACATGGTCTTCCTGGAGAGCCTTGGATGCCCTAGAATTCACAATGTAGCCCGGACTCAAAACTACAGTGATCCTTTGTTAACTGACTCTAGAAAATTGGGACTGCGAGTCTATGCCACCACACCTAGCTTTGTTCCTTTTATGTGACAAATTTACAGGCATTTAAACATTTTTACATTTACTTAACGTGCATACTTTTCTGTGTGTGAGCAAGCGTGGGTGCCTTGGCATACATATGGTCGTCAGAGGACAGAAAAACTGAGGGACTTGGTCCTCTGCATCATACAGACTTTGAGGGTCAGACTCGGGTCATCAGGCATGACAGCGACCCAACTTATCTGCTGAACCATCTTACTAACCGAATACTTTAAAGGGTCTTAAACTCTTCTAGAATAAATTGATAGGTATTTTAAAGGGTTGTACTTTTCCATCTCATTCATATATTTTTTCTTAAAATCAACCATGAAAGAGATGAAAAATAACAGAGGGTGGATGAGGGTGATGACCTGCAAATCCTTTTTGTTCGTTTGCTCGTTTTTGTTTTTCGAGAAAGAATTTCCTCTGTAGTCCTGGCTGTCCTGGAACTCCTCTGTAGACCAGACAGGTCTCAGACTCGGAGATCTGCCTGCCTCTGCCTCCGGGATTAAAGGTGTGCGTCACCCCGTTTTTGTTTTGTTTTTCAAGTATTTCCAGAATGGTCTCTAACTCACCACATGGGGTTATACAGCCAAGGACAAGGATGACCCTGAACTCCTGATCTTCCTCCTCCCTTCATTTCTGCAGCGCTGGCTGGGAGAACTTGACCCGATTTAGGCGGAGCTGGGGATCTAGCCCAAACATGCTGGAGCAAGCAGGGAGGACACCAACTGGGCTACATGCCTGGCTCTCCAAAAATAATTCATTTGTAAAAATTTTACATTTATCTATGCTGTATATGGGAGTGGGGGAGTTCGAGTGTGCCACAGCCTGCATGTAGAGGTAAGAAAACAACTTTGGGGAGCTGGTTCTCTTCTTCCATTATATGGATTCCAGGGATCCAACTCAGGCCGTCAGGAGTGGTGGGAAGTGCATGAACTGTGGTCTGATCACCCCAGAGGGCTGCTCTCTGGGACGGCCTACACAGGCAGTGGCTTTGCTTCCTACTCTGCAAATGGGTATTGTAGAGGTGGCAAGAGCCACGTCACTGAGTGTACCAACTCCCACGCACGGGATCATCTCTAATTAAATCTCTCCCCCCTCCCCCGAGACCCTGTGAATGCTAACAAAACAATAGCGGGCTGGCAGTTGGTTCCCCCTTGCTTCCACCATTCCCGTGCCAGCCCTTCTCATCCACTTCTCGGCAGCTTTGCTCCGTCGCTGGTGCCAGCCAGGCAGGCGTACTGCGCAACCACTTGGGTTTTCTTTCCTCTTTCTGCGCCCAGTAAATTTTCATAAAGCGTTTAACGTGTGAACAAGTAGGTTAATTTCCCGAGTGGTGAACTCAGAGCCCGGCACCACTGCCGTGATTTGGCTTCTGAGGCCAGGGCCTCGGCCCCAGCAGCCAGAAAACTTGCCAGATCCTTCTCTGAACAGCCCCAGGTGCGATT